CCAACTATGAGTATAAAAAGTATGCTCATCTCAAGATCTCAGTGAGAACCATCCTCCTTGGTTGGTTTTTGCACTGATATGTTTGAGGCTCTTGCTGCATTTTTCCTGAGGCAACACAATAAAAATGCTAGCACTGCAAAAAGATAAATTTATTCTTTAACTTCTTGCTGTCAGATAGTGGAGTGTTTATTATAGTGAGAAAAGTTACAGAGAAGCCTCAGACCACCAAACAAAGAGGCTTGAGGAGAAGATGGGACATTGGGATTAGAAATGTAGATTTAGGGTTTTACAACTAGATCTGTTATCTGAGAATCTAGGAATGGATGAATTCTTAAAGTCAGTGACTACTGGAGAAAAAGAGCATGATTGAATGATTGAACCTTGGGAAATGCCCAGAAAGGAGAGAGAAAGTAAGGGACCGACAGCGAACAGGAGGCCCCAAAGGGGCTGGTGCTCCTGAGAGAGTGCAGAATGGGGAGTGCTTGTTAGTCAGGGGCCAGAGGAGCAGGCGAATCAGATTGCAGCCGGAAGAGACTTTGGATTTAGGTCAAGATAAGGCCATCCAGTGGTTGACGGAACTGGCTCTTACCAGTTCCCCAAAACAGATGTGCGCATCTCTCTCCAAATCCGTGTCATGTTGGGAGCTTGAAATTGGCCATGTGGGAGTGTTTACAGCACAGAAAGGGGCAGATGCTACAAATTAGGGCCATTTTAAAAAAAATGTTGTTTGTAAACATTACTAGAATATTACAAAGGTCAGCAGGTTTCCATAAAGGAGTGTTTCTCAAACTTTTTACATGGTGACCCAGCAAACATAGCTTACACCTGAATCATACACATGCACACACACACACAGAGAACGGTTTTTAGGAGCAGTATCTAATCTTGTCATGTGGGGTGCAGTCTGATCTCACCTCTTCTCTTTTCATCCATTTATTAAAAAAGAATAAAAAAATCTGTTCATAACTCACTAAACTGATTTCATGACTTGCAGTTTGAAAAGTATTGTTTTAGAGACAACTAGAGGTTTTATATGCATCACAAGGTCATGAGACAGTTATTTAAAAAGTTAGAGTAGCAGTTGTAGATGGGACATTTCATCTTGAAAGAAAGATTTAAAATGTTGAAAAGGTGGGGCGGTCAGTTAGCTCAGGTAGTGAGAGCACAAGCTCATAACACCAAGGTTGCTGGTTCAGTTCCCACATGGGCCAAGGAGCTGCACCCTCCATGACTAGATTGAAGACAACAACTTGACTTGGAGCTGATGGGTCCTAGAAAAAACATACTGTTCCCCTGTTCCCCAATAAAATAAAATAGAATAATAATAAAAAGTTGAAAAGGTAGCTTCTTCAGAATGGTCACTAAATATACATGTGTAAAGGAGAAGAAAAATGGAGTAGAGAGAAGCCAGCACCATCAGAATCGGCCCGGCCTGAGTGAGAGCTGGGCCGAGAACGGGGCCTTGCCCTTGGCAATGGGAGAAGAGACTCATGTTTTTCAGTTGGGAGCCTACCTTGTAGAAGGTCAGCTGTTCTAGAGGATAGAGAAAGGAAAGTGGACACATTAGGAAAAAGCTCAAAATTAGATATTTGGTATTTTTAAAATTGCTTTGATTTATTTAGTTGGAAATGCACTTTCTGAGAGCCAGTGTTATTTCTGTAAACCGAAAGAGCACTTACGTACCTTATTGAGGGTCACACAGCTTTAAGTGGCAGAAATGGACCTTGAACCCTGGGCTGACTCCTGTTGCAGATTTCCATACTTGCCCACCAGGTGGAGACTACAAGGGCGGGTGGGTATGCCGGGCCTGTCGGCAGGTCAGTCAGGGCCTGGAGCAAACCCGTCACCGGCCATGCTTGCTCTCCATTGCTCTTTGTGGCCTGAAGCAGATTTGGCAGTTATCTGTTATTTGATCAGTTTAGATGGCCAGTCCAGGTAAATTAGTCCCCACACTCCATTCTGATTGACCTTCATTAAATAAATCAAATGGACTGTTGCCAAGTCATTCTGACTAGCTTCCTCCATGAGGATAGTCTAGGGGTCTGAGTTCTGAGGCCGGACTGAGTAGAGCCTCCTAATGGACCAGTCCTGAAGAGAAACTCAGGGTGGTTTCATGGCTGTGGACCTCGTGGACCTCAGAGGCCAGGGCCAGGCTAGAAAGGTGAAGCCTTTCTTTCAGACTTCAGGATCTGGACAGACAGCACATAGGGAGTTACAAGGTGGGCAGGGCCAGACTGAGGTGTCAGCTACTGCCCTGGGTGGGGTTTCTCCCTGCAACCCTGTAGGAGCAGACCAGGGGAAGCTGGTGCCAATCAGCCAGGGTTTGGTGGGCCAAGGGGGCTCTCCCTGGGGAAGGCGGGAATGGGTGTTTGTCATATCTGAAGTTAAAGAGGTGAGGGATGAACCAGAGAAATCAAGTGTAGATGGAACACTTGAGTTTCGTTTTAGTCTTGTCTAGTTTTGAGTATGTGGCGTTGTGGATTGTGAGCTGTTCCCTTTAAAGAGTCTCACGTGTGCCTGACACTCAGCTATTCATGTTACCCAGCAGACCTCATGTTTTTCTAATAAGAAGCTTTGTATTTTTCATCTTGTGATTTTGTAATGAAGACAAAGGAAGTCTGTTTATGATCCTGTGTATTATTTTTATAAAATGATACACCCTTGATACAGGGATGTTGGATGCTGCCCCCAGAAATCTGTTTCCTATGGTAATTTTCATTAACAAATCTAGACATATCATGTTCAAGTTTGCCCCAACTGCCTCGGATGAGTTAGAGGAAGATAGTTGCAGTCAGTGTGACAATTTTTAGAGATGCAAAAGAGGACAATGTAATATGTATCCTAACAGATTCAGAAACTCTACAGTTCTAAATATTAATACCACACTATCAAAAAATATTTAGTAGACGCGAAAGCATGTTTTTGATATTTGAGTATAAGAGGACTTTTTCTGTATTTCCTGTCGCCATCAATAATTGGAATCTGCATTTCCTCCTTTATTCGTTCAATAAATATTTAACACCCATTATGTTCATGGCATCGAATTAGACTCTGGGGAAGTTACAAAGAACCTAGAAGACTGGTCTCTGCCCTCAAGGGGGAAATAGAAGAAATAATTACATCTAATTGTTTTTAACACAGAGCAGTGTTAATCCCAGTTTGGGAGCGTCCTGGTCACCAGGGAAGGAAATGGGGCTAAAGGGACTTCTGCAAGGCCATCACCCTCACAGCCACTGATCATCAGAGCCTTTCTGTCCTCTTTCCTGTCCTCAGACCCCCTCGGGGTTTATAGACCAGTGGGGCTCGGGGAACTGGCTCAGGTCCCTCTCGCCCGTGGTGATTGTCCTCTGATGGGCTGTGACCTGATGAAGCTTTTTTTCTTTAGATTTTCTTACAATGCCAGAGACTGTTCATTTCCACACACAACTAAGACCTCCTAAATTGTGGTCTTCATAGGCTAAAATGAGTACTCCCCACCATTTCCTGGGAGGGCTCTGGGTCAGCTTTCTGCCTGCAGCATTGTAGAGCCGTGACAGGACACACGCACACATACACAGTGGCCATTCCGCCAGAAAGTGGGAGGCCTGTGGAGGAAGATGGGCCAGGGTCTTTATCCTGTCTGAGCTGGAATAGGCACTCAATAAAGCCTCATTGACTGAGGACTTCATGGCCGAAAAGTATGAGAGCCACGAGTTTAGGCCTTAACACTCCTGGAGGAAGGTGTTACGTGTAGAAGGCCGGTTGGTGGGTTGAAGAGGGTGGGGGAGACCTTTGAAGGCCCCATATTTATAATTCTAGGAGATGTGTATGATTTGGACCATGGCCAGATTGTCATTAATTCATTCAACAAACATTGGTTTGAGCACTGGTATGCATAGTGTGTGTTAAGTCACCTTGGGGATTCCAAAGGATTCTGTAAGACACTGCTTGCTAATTGTGTCTACATGTTAGAATCATGTGGGGGAACCTCTTAAAAATTTCCAAGCATGGGCCACACTCAGACCATCTCAGGCTCCAAGTGTGGGACACAGACATTGGTAATTTGGAAGCTGCCTGGGGGATTCCAACAGGTAGACCGGTTTGTGAATCACTGGCACAAGGAGATTATAATACAGTTTTAGATAATGCACCCAGAAAAATGACATAGCAATGTAAGGTGGCATGCAGCGACCTCACAAAGCAGGTGGGGGATTCCAAAGTAAGTTGCAGTGGTGAGTATGACCCCTCCCTTGAGAGGAGCACGCTGTGGATTAGGTGGTGGGAACACCCAGCCAAATGGCCTGGGAAGATAGGTGGGGTTTGATGGGTACCGGCTGGTGAGTAGGATGCTCCCTTTAACCTTGAGTTCAGGCAAGTCTGGGGATGACCTTGGAGCACCATATGGGGATCTTTAGTGGAATAGGCCAGCATAGCAAGACCTTGACTTTTCATTGCCATTAAGTGGATGAATGTTTTTCTCATAAAGACAAACCACTGGTTATCCACTGGCATCTTTCTTGTATGTCTGAACATGTAGGCTAAGAACCAGGAGGTGAAGCAAATCCCTCGGGATAGAAACGCTCAGCTTCACTTCTTGATTCTCTTTCTCTTAAAAGTGTTCCCTGTCCTCTTAATAGCCACAGCAGTGAGTATCCCTGCTTGTGCATATCCACACACAAAAGAGCCATTTTATGTGGGCAGCTCCATACTCCAGGGTCTTGTGGAGCGGTGAGCTATTGTTCTGCTTAGGGTGGGTGAAGATACTTGACCTTGGCTCCTCCTGGCTGCTGTAGGTGCTTCCAGACCCAGGGCTGCTGCGGTGAACCATTCTGCTGCTAATTGCCAGCCTGTCAGACCACATGGCCCTCATTTGGTATTCTCAGTACTTTCTAATCAGTTTTTTTTTAATTGAGTCTATTATATGTTATTTCAGAGGGAGAATGGAATGTTTCAACACTATTAGTAAATTCTTCATGAGCTGCAATCTTAAGTTTTTCTTTTTTTCTGGTTCACACCCACAGTGTGCCATGCCGAGCTGAATGCCATCATGAACAAAAACTCGTCTGACGTGAAAGGCTGTACTATGTATGTGGCCTTGTTCCCATGTAACGAATGTGCTAAGCTCATCATCCAGGCAGGTAGGAACCGGCCGTTCCATTTGTCACATTTGCATTGCTGCCTGCTCATCGGTAGCTCACTGCAGATGTGTTTGATCTTAAATTGCTATTGTTTAGATCTAAATTAATTGCACTATCAACTTAGCAAGATATTTCCCGTGTTTTGTTTTTGAATGGTGCCAGGTATTCTAAGACTAATTGCATCCTCTGTGATGCTTAGCATGTTTTTAATTTAGTTTGCAACTTCTTAAACTGCAAGCTGCCAAAAAACAACACAGGCTTTGCATATAATTACTGTCAATTTACTATTCTCTGACATATTGTGCATAGATTAGGGGGGAGGGAGAGAAATGAATTTCTGTCAGAAACAAGGTCAGCTGGGAGTCTGTATATGAAATTTTAATTTGTATCTAATATATGGTAGATATCTGAGGACCTAAACATACCTTTGCATATCAATGTCATAAGACTCCAATGGCACTACTTTAAGTTTTTCTTACCGTAAATCTATGCCATTGTAATTTGAATATTTCACCTTTTTCAAATTGTCACATCTGAGATTCAGCTACACTTTATCTCCATAAAACTCTCGGCGTGAGATTTAAAGACTTACCGTGTTAGCCAGATGTGTGGTTTAAAGGGGCTGTTTATCACGTGCCCATGGATCTCTGAGTAGAATAGGCTTGTGGTTATCAGAATCAAAAGTCTCCGTTTAGGAGTACTGGTGGTGCGAGGTCCTTCAGGAATTTTCCTCGGCCATCTTTAAGCATCGAGGTGGTGGCAGGCGGGTGGAAGAGCAGCCTGTGCCCTGTGAGGCCATCTTCCTGCTGTCCCTTCAGAGTCTGGCAGAGAGCAGGGCGGTATATCGAGGGGCCTCCAGATTTTTGGCCCTCAAATTAGCACTGCCTGGTGAGGCAGGAAAAGAAAATGGATCTGCTGTCCATGGTACTGTCATGAGTTGGTCGGCAGAGCCATTCTTGGAAGCTCAGGAGTACGTCTCCCTGACTTTGCCTGCCGTCTCCACTCCCCTTCATTAGCCTCTTAAGAGTAGTTGCCTTACGAAGAAAGAATATTTGATTGCCCGCAGTAAAGAAAATTTGTTAATCGGATCAAGGCTTGACTACTTGACATGTTTTCACTTTGCGTTCGTTAAAAAAAAAAAATCCATAAAGACTGGAGGGCAGATTACATATAATCCGTCCGCTGCTGTATTCGAGAGCAGCAGCGATATATTTCAATAACTGGACATTGTGTGCAAGCGTACTGGGAGAAGGTGATTAATCAGCATACTGCCAGGGCTCCGTCTGCTTCTGCAGCATCGCTGTGTGTGTGTACTGATGGGGCTTCTTCCTTTGTTGCCTTTTAAGGTATCAAAGAAGTTATTTTCATGTCCGATAAGTACCACGATAGTGAGGAGACAACAGCTGCGAGGCTCATGTTTGATATGGCTGGGGTCACGTTTCGGTAAGTAGGAGGAACTGGGGGGAAGGTGGAATGAAAGCCTGATGGAAAAACAGCTGTGTCCTGGCCTGGTCTTTAATTTCTACCTTTGATGCCCAACTTCCATACTTGGAAGCTTCTTGTTCAATGCGATGGGCTATAAGAATCTAAGAGTTATTTTAGGTGTAGGTTTTTAAGAGCAGTGACAGAAGTATTTGAAGACAATCTGTCTAGAGATCCCAGTTTAATATTAGTAGCCTTCCAAGGTTTGGACTAATTATTCTAGTAGCAAGACATTTTTTTAAAAAGTCACAAGTTTTATAATATTGACTTTAAACCTTTGTAAATTTTGCAAGTGTAACAACTCTGGCATAGAAAATTTAGGAGGACAATAACCTGCCAGGTTTGAAACACCGGGAATTCTATGTATAGCAACATTTTAAATTGAAATTTGAAGTCATTTAGATTTTTATGTTTATCTTTGCTAGGCAAAATTGGGAGGTATGTTTTACTTGCAAGTAAGTTCAGCCACCTTTGATTCATGGTGGAAACTTCTTTGAGACTGTGAAAGCTTTCAAAGCAATTCCTTTACAGTTTTGTGGTCAGCAGTGGAGTCCTTATAACCAGTAACATACCTCCCTTTGTATTCATCAGTAGGGATATAGGTTATAGGTCATGAGTCTGTCGTGCCTTGTGAGACACTAAATCCAAATTCCTTACATAATAATAATTAGATATTTACTCTTTACTGAATTTTTAAAAAATATGTTTAGTACCCAAATAATTTCTTTTTAACCGTTTTAGAGGGTACATTCATGAGTCCAAAAAAAAAAAATAGTGGGTTTATTTTACTTCTGCATTTTTTAGAACATGATTTTAAAAATGACTTCTCACTAAACCTAGTTGTTTTTTGGCTATATACAAGAGGCAGAAGAAAATTTACTCTTTTTTTGATTTAGAGCAATTTCACATTGGCAACAGAAATTTCCTAGAAAATAAGCTAAATCCGGTGGGGAAACTAGTCATCGGGTGTCATGGTGTGCAGCTAACTTGTTGGAAATTCTTTGACTCCCCGATAACTCATGAACTCAGCTAGGTGAAGAGCCTCCAAGCCAGGGCACCCCATGCATCTTTTTTGGTCTTGGTCTTTTCTGGGCGGGGTTTCTCTCGGTATGGTGCCCTGTAATTGGCTCCTCTTGTAGGACAAACTCGCAAATGAATCCTAGGAACATTTTTCCTCCCCACAGTAAACAAATTGCTTTAACCCCTCACTGGATACTATCATTCTGTATTTTGTTTCTTACCTTTAGGAAATTCATGCCGAAGTGCAGCAAGATTGTCGTTGACTTTGATTCAATTAACAGCAGGCCGAGTCAGAAGCGTCAGTGAGTTACGTCTCATTACACCTCCAGAAGACTGGGATTATCCTCTTCTAAGGAGCTGCTAATGCCTTTCATCTTGAAGTTACACATAACTATTTAATAGCCAGTGTGGCAAAAGTAGAAATCTAAAGACTAGAAAGCCTCAAATCTTCCCAACTCTCCCTCCTGTCACATGGAATCTGCATCTGTTTAAGCTATTGATTTAGGGTTTAAGAGAAAGGAGCCTGTGGCTGGCCTGTCGCAAAGGGCTGGCGTGGGGGGCCTTCCCCTTTTTGTGTCCTGGTTTGCTGGGATGCTGGTGACTCTGCAGAAGGGCGTCAGTCAGCTCTCTGTCACCCACTGCATCTCCCAGCTGCTTCACGCTGCCACATGTGCTGGAAGGCTGGAAGGACAGATAAATAATTGTTGTGTTCCTAGCGGGATGAGCAGACACACTGATTTGAACATCTGGCCCAAATGAAGCGTAACATGTAGTGCCCTTGGGGGTGGGGGTGGGGTGGCGAATAGGACCTACATGACAAGTAGTGTTTAAGTATTTGCTTTAGAGAGTTGAGGGAAACCCCTACCCACCCACTCACCCAAAAAGCCTAGAGAGGATGGCACACCTGTTCTGACTATCGATGGGCGTAAGGGAGCTCTGGATACTTTCTCTGCTTCTGCTGTCCTGCTACCCACAGGATAGTGGCACATCATCCCTTTGGGGGAGGAGACCCCTGTTGTTTTTGCATCTTATTTTTGGTTTGTTGGTCACACAGAGCTCGCCCATTAATTTATCTGAATAATGAATTGTTCCCAGAGGAGACCACCAAGACCACGCCCTGCTGTGGGGACTGTGGAAGGGAGGGTGGGCCAGGCACCACTTCTGCCACTTGAAAAACGTGTTGCTACTCCTTTACATGCCAACGCGGTTTGTCTCCAAGGCCACTCCACAACCGGGGAGTAAATTAATTCCTATCCCGTAAGTGAAACGTGAGGAAATTCAGCCTGCCTCGAGGCGGTTTATTGCAGATCTATTGGTGATGGGAGCTCATTTGTGCTCCTGGCCACATGCTTTTCCTTCACTGACACAGTCTCACCTTCCTAATCACTGTGACTTGGGGAATGTGTGGCTGCGCACCTTGTCTTTAATCTCATTTAATTTTTATTAACTGTGCTCAGTACCTTTGTTGAGAAAATGGTTTCTTTATCCTAAAGATAATTACTGTTTTAAAATGCTCTTATATTTTTATGAGTTTTTATTTTGTCTCTGAGGTTTTATGCTTCATATTCTGGGGCATTTTGTAATTTGGCTGCTTCCCAATATTATTAAAATCTTATTAAAATCTAACCCACCAAAGTATGTTCATATTTATATTATAATTATATGCTTAACTCTCCATTTCTGTCATTTCTATATGGTCTGTGAAGCACATCACATATGTTTTAATGCTCAGAGATCAGTTTGAGACACTGATGCTGTGTGCTTTCCCCAGGGCTGATGGATGGCACTTCTTTATGGACTAGACTGAAGATGTTAAGAAAGGCTCTCTTACCTCTCCCTCCTGTGTGCCTGCACCTGGTCTCATGTACGGCCACCTGATAGGTCCCAGGCCTCCGCCTTCCTGTAACACTTCAGTCTCCAATTCCGGCTTTTCCTGCTGCTCTCTCGTCTTATTCTCTAAATCTCTCTTCTCTCCTCAGTGTTTTCTCTCTTTACCTTCTCCAAACCTTTTACCCTGCTTGCCCCAAAATGCATAAAACAAAAGGTATTTGGAAGAAAGAAATCAATAAGGATACTTAAAAATAGAAAATATATTAGATTTTTTATGTTGCTGCAAATTCTGAGTCGTGAGCCCTGTTAGCAAGGAGTGTGTAATTTTTGTTATGTCATGTTCGTAAATAAGTCCAAGGGCTAATAATCCAGCTGTGTGTCTAATTTATTAAATTTGACTCTCTTATATTTTGTCACACTGAGTTTTCGTGAAGAAAGTCTTGTTCTTTTTCCTTTGGGGAGGAGGTTAACAGGCAGGATCCTTGCTGAGAAGGAAGCATATACATCTTTGACAGTCTGGTTGTGCTGTTTATGTGGAAGTGATGCTCTCAGTGCGAGTATATGAGGCTTCTGCGTAGAGACCGTGTTGTTGAACTTGATTCTTGGTGACCGGTGTGTAAGTAATCATGTCTTAGTTCCTGGCGTCCCTCACTGTAGGAGTAGTGGAAGCTTCCTGTCCAGAGAATTCTGCAGATGTCAGTGTTCCAGTGTGTAGAGGTTTGCTTTGAGCCGTTGCCTTTGGGCAAAGTGCCCCAGAAGGAAGGGGTTTTGAGCAGCCTGCTACATTACAGGCGGCATTAGATAATTGCAGTGAAGGGAGACTGCATCCGAGAGGAGTGTTGCTGCCTGTCATGGCTAATAAAGGACAATAAGGAGATCCTTCCATCTTTCACTGAACTGGTGGTAGGAGAACTAACTACATGTAAAAGTCGAAATTTGTGAGAGAGATAATAGGAGCTCCAGTTTCCTGACCCGCCTTATGCTTTTCTAGTTCTTACAAGTCTGCCCTTCACAGACTGCTGAAACCCAACAAGACCCAGCCGTGAAAGTGATGTAATATATTAGCCATTTTTTTCTAAATTAACAATGAAGCAAAATAAGGGAACAAGCATACAAAGAAAAATTGAGAAGAGCTTGAATAAACTGCTTGTGTGACTAGTGAGCTAAACTTCTTGTGTGCCAGACATAATTTTTGATCTTCTGATGTTCATATTTATCTGTGGATTAAATATACTTAGGCTGAATAATAGAACTGTTAGATGAAGCCTATGCTATTGTGATTTATGAGAAATAAATATTTGGTCTTTGTTGCCGTTTCTGTCACAGAGCTAAAACCCGTGTCATATCCTAAGTGATGAGAGCAATAAAGGTGTCTCTTGTTAGGTTAATGAGGTGACTTTGGGATCCCCCCTAAGGATGAAGGCTGGTTGGTTGCCAGGAGAACCAACCAGTGTGATTAGAGGTTTGGAACTTTCAGTCCCACCCTACCCACCTCTGGCGAGGGGACAGGGGCCAGAGGTTGAATCAACAGCCTGTGGTCAATGACTTAATCATGTCATTGTAGTGAAGCCTCCATAGAAACTCAAAGGACAGGGACTGAAGAGCTTACGGGTTGGTGAACACATGGAGATTTGGGGAGAGTGACACTCCTGGAGAGGGCATGGGAGCTCTGTCCCCTTTCCCTGTGCACCTCTCACCTGGCTGTTCCTGAGTTATATCCTTTTACAATACATTGGTAATCTAGTAAGTAAAATGTTTGAGTTCTCTGAGCCGTGCGAGCACATTAATCAAACTCCAGGAGAGGGTGGTAGTAACCTGATTTACAGCCAGTTGGTCAGCAGTCCAGGGGACAACCTGGACTTAAGACTGGCACCTGAAAGTCCATGGACGGGGTCATGGGAACCTCTGATCTATAGCCAGTCAGTCAGAAGCACAGGGGGACAGTTTGGGCTTGTGATTGGCATCTGAAGTGGGGGTGTGGATTGTAGTTTTGTGGGTCTGAGCCCTGGACCTGTTGGATCTCATGCTGTCTCCGGGTAGTGGCAGGGTTGAGTTGGGTTGCAGCACACCCAGCTGGTGACCTGAGAATTGCTTGGTGGTGGGAGAGAAAGTCATCCCTCCACCAACATTGAAATTGGGTTCAGGAACCCAAAATAAAGCCCAACTTTGCCAACCCCTTTACTAAGCTAAAGAATGCTCCTCACCTGCCTGTGCCATGCAGATGTGACCTGCACTTCATTTTCTCTAGGACGGAGTTGTCTACTTGTAGTGTCCACATCTGAGTAACAGTAGGGTAGGCAAGGGTCAGAAGTGTCTGTAGGTGCCCAGCTCTTACTCATTTCCAAGGTCAGAGATTTTAGATTTTAGAGGTCTTCATTAAGTATTTCCAAAGAAAATTGGGGGAGGGATTCTGTATGCCATCTCCTCACTACTCAGTAGTGGAATTACTAGGTGGAGCCCATGGATCTCACAGGCCTTGATCCTGAAAAAGATGTTGTCCTGGGGCGGCCGGTTAGCTCAGGTGGTTAGAGTGCAGGCTTATAACACCAAGGTTACCAGTTTGATTCCCACATTGGCTGCTGAGCTGCACTCTCCACAACTAGATTGAAGACAGCTACTTGATTTGGAGCTGATGGGTCCTGGAAAAAAACACTGTTCCCCAATTAAAAAATAAAAAAAGATGTTGCCCTTATTTCTGGTGAGCAACCGTCCAATCTCTTCTCTCGAGCCCTGTGCTCCCTTTTGAACCTCAGTCTGTATCTTCGCTTTCCTGCTGCTATTCTCTGTCTCTGTTTTTAAATACAGAGGGTGCCAAAAAATGTATGCACATTATAAGAAAGGAAAAACAATATTAAAATTGGAATGCTCAATATATACTAATAACAAAAGATAAATACAAGTCATGTTTATACATTTTTTGGCAACCCCAGTATATATA